ACTTCTGCAAAAGAAATAGTTCTCTTAGATAAAACAATTAAAAGTACTACAACTAAGCACTTATAGACCCTGGGTTTAGTCCAAATAAAATAATAACTTCAAATTTTCCTAATACTACATTAACTAATGCTTCAATCTATTTATTATAGAATATTTGTATTGGGAATTTTAATCCATAGTGTTCTGAAGAGTTTTAAAGACTCCATTTGGAAGATAATTCACAGAGACTATCTAATATTGAAATTTTGTTTGCTAATGATTATAAGCAAATAGAAAGGCATAAATTGTGAATCTCTCTTCACTGCACTGAGCACTGTTTTATCATCTATTCTGGCTATTCATCATTTAACTTATTTTTTCTTAGAATGAAGGCACTTTTTAGACCTCATATGAGTTTTTATGTTGACACTTTATCAACCAAATGTTTTATAAGGAGTAGATTTGAGGATTGCATTTAACTCATTGGGATAAAAGAATTAAAGGTACTATACCTAAACACTTATAGACCCTGGGTTTAATCCAAATAAGATATTAAGTTCAAAGTTTAACCTGTGATGCTTTACAACAAAAAGATGACAAATCAAAAAATAAGATTACTAGGAAATTTATGACAGAAAATAGGGGCAATAAGAAATCATTCTAAGTTAATCAGTAGTAATTTATCAAAATGTATTACATTTCACATTGTAGAGGAAATGAGGAATACCAATATTTGTTCCAGAATTTGACTCTACCTTGATTGTAAATATAAGCATAAATGTGAATTCATGCCAATTCCTTCTAGACTTAAGTTGTGACAAAATTTAGGGCTGGTAGTTGTGACCAAGTTCCTAATTATTATAAATGATGAATATATACAAAGTATATTTCTCATCCTTGTGTCTGGTTCATGGGAGGAGCTTTCTGATTGGTCAGTGGATGTGTACATATGTGCCTGTGAATTCATGCAAGAGTGACAGAGATGCTCATGCTTCTCAATGTGCTTCTGATTATATATCTTGTGGAATTTCATATAATTGAAAATTTGCTAGAATGAACCGAGTAATACTCAGTTTCTGCAGGATATTTTCCCATAATACCTGCTCTATTACTCATGTTATTTATGTACCTGAACTTTAACATAATAATTTAAAAATAATAATTTTAATAATTCAAAAACTATTATTAAATTGGAATCTCATGGATTTTTCATAAGAGGGTATTCCAACACTTAGCTCAACAATTATAATTGGTAATTAATGCCTTCAAGGAGTTTTAATATTGAAAATCTACTTATTTCAGATGAATTCTTTTGATATCATTTTTTGATTTCTTATGATTTTACTAATAAAAGTGTATTTTCTTTTCTTCCATCTCTCTTTTCAATGCCTTTAAAAAAACAGTATTTATGCATGGCTGTAATTATGCATTTATCCTCAGTGCTCAATTACCATTATAGCTTTATTTTTAAAATAACTTTTATTTGTTGTGGATTTTCTCCCCAAAATAGAAGTTAGTCCAATACACATGGCCTGGCAATTTCACAATTAGGAATTAAATTAGAAATAAACAGCTGGCATGTGCTCAAAATAATAAAATTCCAAAAATAGAAGTGAATCAAATTAACATAAAGACATTAACTTTTTCTAGGTGGCGTGAGATCGTGAGATTGCAAAAGTCTTGGGTAATTAGATTTACTTATTCTCAAAATAGCCAGTGAACCTTAAGTGACATTGCATTTCAAAGGTGGGAGCCAGAGGGAAAGTTGCTTGTGGTATTGGAGTGACAAAAAAGAAGAGATTTCACTTTGAAATCAGCCTAGGCTAGTGCAAGCAAGTCTATTTCCAGAGTGGTTGTAAAGAGATTATTTAGCTAGATGCCATAAAGAGATTATTTTCTTTCTTCTGTGGGAATAAGAAAGTGAAATAATCCCCGAATTTGGAATTTTAGATTGTTTTTAAGAAGTTTCCTTTACCTATTGATAGTATTCCCTGTTGTTTGTACCTTCCTCATATTCAAGTAGTGATAGTTCTTTTCATTTTGAAAAGAAACGAATCCCATGTGTCATTGGCTCTCAGTTTAGTGTTTTCTTGGTATTATATGATAACAGACTTGGAAAATCTCTACATGATCATTTTAAGAGCTTTGAATGCATAATCATGCCATTTCCATTAGAAGCAGTCAAACTGGTGTTTCACAGATTACTGATACAGATTGGAGGGTAGTTCCCAAAAGGTTATGCTAGATCTACTGTTTTGAAAGACAATTTCATTTTGTATAACTTCTGGCGTGCTCTTAAAAAGAATCACACACATAATCACACACAAACACACACAGAATCTCAATCTCCCTGCCCCCCACATCTTTTCCTTAGTTCCCTCAGGGTGGCTGTTATTTATTCATTTTATTGTTATTTTTGTCTTTCAGGTCAGGGCCAGTCTGAGGATGATACAATAGCCCTGTTGCCCTTGCTTTCTTGCCCTCCCTAAGCACTCCTGCTCCCTGTTCCTCCTCTAGAGATGAGGCAGCACTTTTCATGTGGCCCATGGACAGAGTTAGCACTGTTTCTAGTGCCTCCAGAAAGACATGCTGTGTCACCTGTCCTAGCTGCTTCAGTGCTAGATCCAGTAGGTCTTTTTCTGAGGGGTCGCCACTGGCCTTCACTCATGTTTGTTTTACTATACAATGAGGCATGGATTTCTGGATGCTGCATCTTTGATGTTCATGTGAGACAACCAATGACTTCTCATACCAAGAAGACAAGGGCTGACTGAAGCTTTTCTTCTTTGACAGGAAAAATAGAGGTAGATAGGGGAAGTTGAAATTATGAGTCCATTTTTGTCCAGAGCTAGAAAATTTAAGTTGGCCAAATATAACTTTACTTCCTTTGGGATAATAACCAAACTTAACTTTATTTAAGGTAACAATTTTTAACAATATTACTTCATTTTTAGGTATTAATGTTGAATAGATCACATGTATACATAATTAAAAATTTTACATGGTCCAAAATGGTGTGGCTTTTAAAGGTCTCCCTCCCATCTCAGTCCTCATCTATCATTTTACTTACAGAGAACAAGTGATACCAACATCTTGTATACATTTCATTCCTTCCTGTGATACCATGTGCATTTATTAGCATTCATGACTATATCTATGTCTATGTCCATAACGTTTTAAAGGAAATTGTAGTACATAATTTGTAAGCAGTTTCTTACACTTAACATATCTTGAAGACAATTTCATATCTCTGGGTATATATATGCTTCCTTCTTGTAAGAGCTTCATTGTATTCTATTATATGGAAATTAATTGTAGAATAATGATCCTACAATTAATTTAAGCTGTCCTCTACTGATGGATATTTATGTTGCTTAGGGTAGTTTGCTTTGACGCAAGCATTGACAAACATTTTCCATGGCTCTTCTGACCATGGAAAATAGCCACAGACAATATGTAAATGTATTATGTGACTGTGTACCAATCAAACTTTATTTACGAACAGTCCAGATGTGGCCCCTGCTCTGGATAA